GGGCCAAAAGTGGGAGCTATTGTTAGAGATACATGCTCTATTACAACATAAAATTATGATCTGTATGTTTCTGTGAATCTCAAGAAATGCCAGAACATACAGGATACCTTCTCCTAAACTAATGAAAATAATTGTACTAATAAAAAAACAAACAAGGACCAAACAACCAAAAAACAAACAAACAGACAAATAATTAAAATTGTGATGCAATAAAAAAAATCAATGTAAGCCTCTCGTGGGCTCTGGGCAGGGACAATAGTCCCCTTCTCCACCGGGGTTTTAAAATTATAGCCACCACTCACCCCCTATAGGTCAGGGCTGGAGGGACACTAGGTTATCTTGCCCTCTCTCTCCCCCCCCCCATTTAATAAGTAGCACACACCAACTGTCCATGGGTGGGAGAAGGGAGTGACATTGATTTGGTCACCCCTCATCCTATGCCCATGGGTGGAGGGGGTTGCAAGTGCCCATTGTTATTTCACAGGCCCCATTCCCATGAGGTCTTTCTAGTGACTGGGGAGTTCTCACTTTTTAGTAGATATGCCTCCACCTGCCGCACGCCAGGTTGAAACCTCCCTTATCCTGCTGTGGGTGTCATCAGGGTTTATGCAAGAATTGTTGCCGCCCTAGGCATTACATGAACCACACCCTGTATGCTCATTGTGGTGTCATATCACAATGTCCCTCCCACATGATCCGACCAAGTCATGACATTGCATAAAATTGTCAGGAATTCAATCTAAATTTCATATTTAAGTTTAAATAGTCAAACTGCAAACATAGCTAGTAATTGGAGAATATGTTTTCCAATTTGGCTATTTTGGGCTTAAATTTGAAATTCACTCTGTATCAATTTTAAATTCTCATCAATTCCCACTTTGATGAATAGCCCTGTTACAGCATAGTTCAAATGCACATTTCATTAAAATAATAAAAATTGAAAAAAGTAAGTAGAACCTTGTAACGGACCGTTTTGCTCACCAGAGGTTAAAAACCGTTTAGGCGATATTCCCCTTTCCAGATACAACGACAGCTACTGTAAGCACCGATCTCCCGAACTAGAAACACATGAACACTCGAAATTCTCTGGACAGGAAAACCATAAATAAGGGTTACACTCCTGGCAGTCAGCATACAATCCAATTCCCCCAATAACGAGACGACACTTCGTTTGAGGGTCAAGCAGAATCTCACTGTACTGGCACATACAGCCTCTTTTATTCCCAATCCACAAACATAGTACTTCCCACAGGGTTTTACAGAACAACCAATCAATCCGTACAATACACACAGACACTCCCACACAAAATCCTCCACTGTGCCTGTGATATGATTACTGAACACAATGGGTGATATAATTATCACAGGCAGAGGAATACAGTTTTTCCACATTATTCATAACTTTGAAAGTATGCATCACATTCACATAAAACTTACATTTTCCGAATCAGCATACTCCAAAAACAAACATATGTCAAAATCCAAATCCAAATTGGTCCATTGGTTCAAAAGATAGATCGAAGTCCTTTGTGACCCAATGAAGCATGGCTTTTCTGCCCAAAACCAGTTCCACAGAGTCTTCTATCCTGGAGATAATTGAGAAGTAATCCAATTATCTCCAAGGACAGAGGCAAAACTCCATTAAGCACATGGCAGTAAAAAGACAGTAAAATACAATAAAATACACAAGGTTACCTTTATTACATAAAATACAGACATTCTACCTATCCCCAGATAGCTTAGATCTGAGCGCACATTATTACTGGAGGGCACTCAGATCACATACATACAGTTCAATCGCCATGGAGCCAAAGTCTTTCATACAATCTTTCAGTATACGGCTGGGCTCCATGGCATAGCTATCTGGGGTAGCATGGCTTTAACAATCCGCAGAAAGGCACAAACTAGCCTTTCTGCAGGGTAAAAGAACAAGGGCCATAGTCTAAAGGGAGCAGGTGAGCAACCAGGCTTCTCCAGTGCACAGTGGCGAGGTTGGTTCCGCCACAAACCTTTACACCCTTTTTTAATGGGATGGGGTTATTGAATCTTTCTAGAGATGGGGTTATTGAATCTTTCTAGAGATGAGGTTATTGAATCTTTCTAGGGTTATTGAATCTTTCTAGCATTTGGAATACAGGCTTGTATTGAATATGTAAAAGTATTGAATATTTTTTTTAATTAAAACTGTCTTTTGTGCACAAATGCAATCATTGACCCATTCACTCACAATGGCCTCCACACACACTTACTCACTATCAGTGACCCATACACACAAAAGCAGACTGACACACACACACTGATGCATGCAGACTGACATACACACACACTGACATACATACACTGACTCAAGCAGACTCACACACATACCCTGACTCAAATATACTGATAAACACATACTGACTCAACATTGACACACACACTCACTGACCCATGCAGACTGACACACACATTGATTCAAACATACTGACATACACTGTGCAAAGTGGCACATACACGTTAACTCTAACAGACCGACACGCACGTTGATTCAAGCAGATACTCACACACTGGTACTCGAGGCCAACGATGCCCTCAGCAGTCCTCTAAGCTGCCACATCTCTGCCAGGCAGTCTTACCTGGCCTCTCATGCCCAAGGTGCCTCCTACTGGAATCGGGACACATTCAAATATCCTGTCGCGTACAGAACACCACATTGAGGGACATGTAGAGCAAGACAAACTTGCGCAGCAGGTAAACCACCACTGGCACGAGGCAGTTATTATTAACTGCATGCACCACCGCCATATTGTCCTTGTAGAAGACCACCTTTCTATCACTCAGGAGTGTGCCCCAAAGCGACAAGGCGACCACCAATGAGAACAGTTCCAGGAAAGCCAGATTCCACACCAGCGGCTCCTCGGCCATGCAGTTGGCCAGGGCGCTGCGCACCACTGCCCCCCAAAGTACGCCCCAAATCCCACGCTACCCGAGGCGTCCGTATACAGCTCCAGTTTGGCTGCCGACACCGCCTCCCGCCTAAAGAACACCGTGCCATTGAAGTGCTCCAGGAACGTGTCCCAAACCCCCAGGTCAGCCTTCATGGATGAGGAAACCCACACAAAGTGGTGCGGCATCCACACCCCTGCAGTAGCCCTTGCAAGGCTCCGACTGAAAATCTGCCCCATGGGAATGACCTGACACGCGAAGTTGAGCTTACTGATAAGCGATTGCAGCTTCTTTGACCTTCCATGACCGTCGGAACTGCCGCCACCGCCTCCCGCAGCCCCACGAGTTTTGCCAAGGGGAGACGGCACTCCCCTTGCTGGGAGTCAATTTCCAGCCCAAGGAAACTTAAACATGTAGACGGGCCCTCTGTTTTATGCGCCGCCAGCTGCACTCCAAATGTGGCCACCCAGGGACCTGGAAGCGGCCACCCAGGGACCTGGAAGCCCCACTAGCCCACCCACTCGATCGTCCTTAGCAAGTAGCGGCTAGTTGGGGAATCCGCCAGACCCACGCATAGGAAGTCGTCCAGGTAATGTACCACTGCCCAGCTCCCAAATTCCTGCTTCACCACCCATTCCAGAAATGACCTGAACTTCTCAAAGTACGAGCAAGAAATGGAACAACCCATGGGAATGCAAAGGTCAACAAAGAAGCGCCCCTCAAAGAAGCAACCCAGCAGATGATGGCTCGCTGGGTGCACGGGCAACAAACGGAATGCAGCCTCGATATCCACCTTGGCCTTCAGTGCCCCCTCCCCGGCCCCCTTTACCAACTTAACCGATTGGTCGAATGATGCGTAAGAGACCAAGCAAAGCATTAACTGATGCCCCTTTAGGGTAAGATAGGTGATGCATAAGGCGGTACTTCCCCGCCTCTTTCTTGGAGACCACCCCCAAGGACGACATCCGCAAGTTGGACAATGGGGCGACCTCAAATGGCTCCACCATCCGACTCAGCTGGACCTTCTTGAACAGTTTGTCGTGAACCACGTCTGAGAAATCCCCCACCGACTTCAAATTACAATAACTCGGCGTACCATCCCTATCCCAGAAAGGGATAACAAAACCTTCCCGGAAACCCGCGGTCAACAACTCCGCGTCTTCCCTATTACCATAAAGGCTTAGCCACGACAGCATCATGGCAAGTCTCACTGGGATTCTGCCCCAGGGTAGCGGGCGCTGCCACCAGCAGGGCCGTGTCACTGCCCGACCCCCTTCTTCCTTTTCTAAAACACCGGTGGAGTCCTTGCCCACCCCTGCAGCTGGAGCATTTGTGCTTGTATTTGCAACTCTCCCCCATTTGCACTGGCCCTCATTAAAGAGCCAGCAAAAACCCTTCATGTGGGAAGCCAATGCAGGGGACTGGTCCTCTGCGCCGGCCGCCTGCTGATAGGGCGACGCTTTTTGAGCCATCATGACCATCCATAACGGCAGGTCCATTTGGTCCCTCCGCATACCAGGATTGGACGCGAGTCGCTGGCTGAATTGCTTATCGTACTTCCACCAGGTCATGCCGTATGTCCTATACACCTCCCAGACACCGTCCAGGTAGCAAAACAAAGACGAGCAAATTCCCTGGGACTTTTCCCCAATAACACTGGCGAGGATACAAATGGCATGCAGTCAATTCCCGAAGGACTTTGGTATCTTGCAATACCAAATACTTTGGTATCTTGCAATACTTGCAATTATTTCTTCTCCTCCTCTTCCTTCTTAGCATCTTTTTTGTACTACTCCTTGAGGTCAATATAGTCCTCTAGAGGCAACAGTGGGAAAACCTCCACGAACTCACCCTTCCATATGCCCTCCTTAACGTCCTGTTTCAGATGTACGCCCAGGGGGCCCGCAAACGAGATGCAGGCATTCTGCCGAGCCGCGACCGGGACGCCACCAGCCAGCTCCGCTCGGTCTCTGACCATGTCGACCAGCGCCGCTGCCCCGTCCCCGTCGGCCACTGACCCCACTGATCCCAGAGCCCCTGCCCCCCCCCGTAACCGTCCACGTCGTACCCAGAGCCCCAGACCCAGTGCTCTCTCGACGTCCCTTCCTCCGCCCAGACCTGTCCCGCATTTGACTGAGGAGTACCCTTTAGGCCCCAAGAGTCAATAATGTGTTGTAAAGAGGATAGCAAGCCCAGTGAACATGCATCGGCAGACCCACCAACCAAGCCATCCATCTGCGAAGGTCTAGGGGCTGCTACTTGAGGACCCAGGAAATCAGACGGGGAGACCACCAGACTCTTCACTCCAACCAGGGGAACCCTCCGGTGCCGGACGCCTTCATGAGTGCACTCTCTGGAGGACCTGGAACAAGAAGGAAAATTCCTGGGCAGATGGCACTGTTCCGTACTCACCCTCCCCGCACAACCCAGGGATCACCGGACCGGAGCCCTGGCATTCCACTCGCAGTAGCGGCCACCCAGGGACCTGGAAGCCCAGCTAGCCCTGCCCCTAGGGCTCCAACTACGGCTGGGCCCATGACGAGGACTGCGCTGCGCACCCCGCCGGGGAGTAACCGCCCCCAGAGGAGCTACTGCAATCTCAAAAGCCTCCAATGCCAGCTCAGGGGCATAGCCGCCCCCCACTGGACGCACTGCTTCCCGACTGACTCTGAGTCCCCACCTGCCAAAGGACTCCCTTCCTGCCTCCATTTGGGTCTAGGGGACCTACCACTTCAGGACCTCCGCCCGGTCGAACGCGACCGTCGCCGGCCCCCAGGGCATGTCCCTCGTGCCCTGCGAGGCGCGACCCCCATGGCTGGGAGTAACTTCCAAGGTGTGAAACTGGCAGCCCATCTGCTCCCTTGCCTCCCGCTCTGCACCACCTGAAGCCCTGGCCACCCGCGCCTGTGGAAACCATCGCACCCAGTGGACGGTGAGCCTGAGACGTTGGCTGGGTGTGAACATCCTTCTGAACCAGGGCAGCCCCTCATGCACCTGAGAGACCCCCCAGGGAGACCCCCCAGGGAGCTCCGCCACTTGACTGCACTCATTCCTGGCTGCTCCCCCTTGTCTTCAGAGGCCTGCAACTGACCCCCTGCTGCTGCCTGCCAGGTGTCCCTGCCCAGGGTTAGTGACCCCCCGTGAATTAGAGGGGCCCATTGCCTGCGTCAACCCTTGGGAAACCGACTGCGTCATGGGTAAAGCCCTATAAGGCCTGCTCATACCACCAACAGCGCCCCCAGTAGTACAGGGGCCTGCTGTGAACCCACCAGGGCCAGTAATTGCCTGAGGGCTTCTGGTCCCTCCAGGGACCTGGTGCGTCCACACCTGGGATGCTCTTCCTGGACGCCAGGCAGAACACTTCCAGGGGTCACTCCTCCACCAGGGGACCTGACGCTTAACGAACTCCCAGGCCCTGCCCGCCGCCCGCGGGAGCCTGCTCTCCAAGTGTGGCACCCTCAGGACTGGGTGCCGAGCTGCCTTGGGGTGATTCGGCCCGCGGTCCATGGGCCCTCCACCCGCGCTACTCGGCCTCCACCACGGGGGGTGGAGCCATCGATGCCTCTCTCGTGTACGGGTAGGATACCTTGCGGCTGGCTCCCACCAGGCCTGCAGGACACGTAGAGGTCTCGCTACCATCCCTGGGCTAAGGTACTGTGGGGGACTTCGCAGCCACACCGGGCGCCCTCCTCCGCAGCCACCTTGCTCCACTGCTGCCATCACTGCCGCCAGCTGCTCCTGAAGCCATGCTGTCCCCCTCCTCCTAGCAGCCTCCTGAATGCTGGAAAGCAGCTCCTCCACCGACCGTTCAAACATCTGAAATACAAAGAAAAGCTTACCAGGCACAATCAGTGCACAACAAGCAGGCACCAGCTCTGCAAGGTAAGAAATTAGAGTAAGGGATCACAAATTGGCCGACCCTTTATATCAGCCAACCCCCAAATGCTGATACACCAATCCCCACTATTGCTCCCTTTCCCTCCTAGCCTGCCTCCTAGCCCTGTCAGGGCCCTATTCCCTAGGCTGTGCATTCTGCAGGGGCTTCAGTTCTGTTGTTTAACTCAGTTTTGTTGTTTTAAGGTATAAACGTAAGGTAAGGTAAGGTATGGGAGGCTTTGTAAACTAAATGTGTGTTTTACAAAGCAGAAAGAAAGCAAAGAACATGTATACACAATTTTGGTAGTGAAATAATTGTTTTATTAACTTGTTTTATTAAAAGGTTACAACTTTGTTTGGGAAGAGCCCTCTTCACCTAGTGTTGCAGTATGTCAATTGTGTTTTGCAAGAAAATACTGTTTGCCTTGTTTACAGTGCTGTGGAATATATTGGCACTATATAAATATATTGGCACTATATAAATAACTCTAAACTCCCATAATTCAAACGTACGTGTGTGGATTACATAACTGATTTTATAAAGTCAAATGTTGACCCACTGTGGACAACATGTATATTTAATTAGCCTCTCTTGACTAACCAGATTGTTCCAAATGAGAACATCCTATCTTACCAAATAAAAGACAAAAATGATCTTTGATAGTATAAAAAAGAAAACGGATTTTAACCACAATTTTCATAATAGCTGTATGTAATCGCTTTATTATGCAGGAAGTAAATGTGCTCAGCCCCAACTACATTTTTTGTTGTTGTAAGTGTAGTTAATCTTAAAACCCTAACTAATTAACAGATAAATGAGTAAAATATAAGTGTGAATGAATTGAGAAGTGAAGAAAGTAGTAATGAGGGAAGTAACAATTATTTTAGAAGGAAACTAAAATAATTTAATGGATTTTTAATGTCTTGCTTTACCAGAGAGAGTCAAAACTTTTTCCCAGTAAAATCTCCCAGAATAAAATGTGTCAAATGACAAGTCCGTTAAACAGGAGTTACATCTAAATTTATGTTAAAGGGGCACTCTGGGCATCCACACATAAGTACCATGTGTTAGATCACAGTTAATTATATTGCATATTTTTTTATTAATCTTCTATAGGTTTTTTATAATAATAACTTTTACCACATATGGTCACCATCTCCTCCACTTCCTCCCATATTGCAGCATTTTTTTTGTTGCTGCAAAATACTGTTGTATATTTTGTCATTGGTTTTCAACAAAAGAAAGCTGTCAATTAAACTAAATCTTGCACAAACCTTTGTCATACAGCATTGCTTAAAGGATAATCTCGGCAGTGCTACAGAAAGTGGCAATCATGACTAGTTGACTGCCTGGGTAGACAATATAGCTTCATCTAATGACATGATACTAGCAGGTATCTCTAAGAAAAACTGGTGCCTTGATACTGCCTTGAAAACACGGCCCAGACATAGTCTGTTTATCAAATTCTAGCAGAGTTGTTCACTAAAGTGAAAATTCAAAGTGAATTTCCAATTTAAGGTTGAAATAGCCAAACTGGAAAATACATCTTAGGTAGTTATGCTTCCATTTTGACTACTGTAGCCTTAAATTTGAAAAAAATAGCTTTGAATTCCAACTTTAAGGATTAGACCTGTAGGTAGCTGATATAGGAAACAGAGAAGGAGCTTTATATTTCAACCTATATTACAAGGTAGCTAGTGCTTATATTTGTCTCAAATTTTACAATTACATCACTAGACATTTTAGAGACAGAAAGACAGAGAAAACAAAATAAATAGACAGAAATGGAATACTAAAAATGCACAAGCAGAGATTGAGTGAATGAAACATACTGGGAGAAAAAGAGAAATAGACAGAATTGATAGCTATGTAGTATATAAACAGATAGTTATATAGGTATAACATCAGCGTCTATTTTTGTGGATATCAGTGTTTTCGGCAGCAAAGGAGTTAATCTAGAACATAGAGAAATAACATGGAAATAGCTTTCAATGTTCTAAGGGTTATCTCAGAAGGGGGTAAGCTAAGATAGGCTTTGATTAAAGACTGCTAAATTAGGACAAGTCCGGATTTGAGTGGAGAAGCTCATAAGTATAACTACAAAACAAAGAAATCAACTATTCCTTTTTTTTCTTTTCTCTCTCTCTCTCTGTCTCTGTCTCTTTTATTGCAGTACTGGCGTTAAATTTGTCTTACCTCTTAAGATATAAATTGAGTATTAAGGTCCTTCTCTTCTAACAAAAAATACATTCTTAAACAATCTACCAATCTAATTACCTCCCTTGAAGAAATGTAATCATCTTCAAAGCAAACATATCACTTTTTGGTTCTTTGAAAATCAAGTATATTTTTCTTTTCACTGGGGACCCTGAAATGCTGTCTGATTTTCAATCAACACTTTCCTTTTCCCGTGGGCCATGATAATGTCATCCAAATTATGCAAATGTTCCTAATCATGTGACGATAGAAACGGCAATAGAAGAAAAAAAAGTAAAGTATATTTATTAGGACACGGTATCCAACTTGGAAGTCATTTATATGCTTTAATTATAAGTTTTATATATTGTTATTTTTCTTATTATTATACATGTAAACCACATATACACATTTCTCCCTGTGGAATACAATAGTTATAATAATTAGATGGATATAAAGGCAGACCAATACAGAAGGTTTTGAGGACAGCATTTGCATAGAAATTACTATTTAGCTTTCCTCAAATAGTAACTAGTAGTCAAAAATTTTACTTTTCTGGTGCCATTGGCTGTCAGGGAATTCTGGAAACTGAATTTCACCAAAGCTGGAGCTTTAAAAATGGATTAGTGATGATCTAATTCCCTTTATATTTTCTTCTATAAATTTATAATTAGAAGCAGAACTTACATCTCATATAGAATTGATCTGATACTCATATCACATGTTATTACAAGAAACATATCTTTTCAAAATATTAAGACATTGCTATCTCAATTTTAAAAAGATAAAATTTCCCTTGAATATACTTGAGCTTTTTTGTGAACACTGTTATGGTTGTACGTTGCAATTTATATCTTAAAATCGCATCAATTTATAATGTATATAAGGTATGTCTAGAAAGCGATCAAATGATGTTGATTAGAAATAAGTGTTTCCCATATTAAAGTGACCTTTATTGTACATAAAAAAGCAATTGTTTAAAAATAGTGATGTCCTGAACGGTTCACCGAACGGTTCGCCACGAACGGTTCGCCACGGACTCATCGTTGAGTAAACTTTGACCCTGTAATTCACAGTCAGCAGACACATTCCAGCCAATCAGCAGCAGACCCTCCCTCCCAGACCTTCCCACCTCCTGGACAGCTCACTAAGAATGCAGCTTCAAAATGGATGCTGTCCAGGAGGTGGCAGGCTCATTTTGAGCCTGATAA